ACTTCATTTAGAATTGGTTTCTTCTCTATAGAAGGTGGTATATATATTCCTATTACTCCCAAGTATGTATAATACCATCTCATTTTTATTTTATTATCTAATTTTATTATGACTGCAATAACATAATCTGTTGTATATTGTAGAAATATTTCACCTAATTTTTTCTTTATCAATAACAGAATTCCACATGATGCACGTCCAAACTTATTTTTGCGTTGAGCATTACTAATTATTATGTTATTGTCTTGTTCTAGATATTTTATTTCCATTTCACTAAATTTTATAATCCAGGTTTCTAAAAATTCAATAATTTCGTTTGATTCCAGAAATTTTCTCATCGAGGTTTTGAATAATTTTCCTCTTAATCGTTGAATATTCGAAAAATTTATCGTCACATTATTTTTTTCTTTTTTTGAATTTTCTACCTTTTTCTCATTCAATTCATTATCTATAACTATCCAATTATCTTCACTCATTTTTCTGTATTTATTTTCCATATCTTTAGCCATTCTCCTTTTTTCCTGCATTGTTTTTAAATTTTGATTTATTTTAACTGATCTTGTAATATATTTGTGTCTAAAAAATGATTTAACTGAATTATTTCTCTGTTATTCAAATCATACGTGTACATTATATTATTTTTAAAAAAGTAATCATCTATAATTTTTATCCTGTTATCATGCGATTTCTCTAGTTTGATCGTTTTTAATAATAATTTTCTCCTAATCCTAGATCTAAAACACAAGTCCGTTGAAATTATTATTTTTTCCTTTTCGTCGGTCATTTTCGATCTTGTGGTCCAAAATTTATTAAGAATTAAATTTCTATCTTTAACCGATTCGGTCATAACCTTAATTACTTGATTATTTCTTCTATTTCCTATTTGAATAAGACCTTCGATATCTATACCATTAAGCTCTAAATTTTCTTTTATAAATTTTTTAAATTCTTCTGCATATTCCGAGGTTTTAAATGGAAAATTAAATATAATTAGATTCTTCTTAGTTCTCTCGTTTAACATTTTATCAATTTCAAAGTCCACCATACCTTTTAGCTTACTGTACGAATCTGTTCTTTCTTCTAATGAACGTATTTTTTTACACATATCTTTTAACTCTTCCTTGAGCTTTAAATTTTCTTCGTTCATTTTGTTCATTTCAGCTTTCAGGGACCGGATCTCGAAGTTCAATCTTTCAAATTTGTCTTGGATCAATTCATAGACCGATTTAATTGAGTATTCAGGTTCAGTAGTCTTTGTTGATAAATCTTCTTCCGGTTCGAAATAGTCTTTTATAGTAGCATACCTCGAGATATCTGTAGTGCTCTTGGAATGTTCCTCAAATAAGTATTCCTCTCCTGACATTTCGCTTGTCTGAGTATTTTCTTCTATATCCCTTGTATGCTCTTTACGTGGTCTCCCTCGTCCCCTTTTTTGCATAACTGCTTGACTTGATATTGGAGGAGATCGAGGAAAAGGTCCAGGATTTAACTCAATTCCGGCAATCATTAGTAATATAAAAATTATTATTCTAGTTAATGCAACATTTGAACTACTTAATTTTCTCTACAAATACAATTTAGCCTATAAACTACTACTAGAATATTTAAATTATTTATTTTTTTCTGGATCATCACATTTTACATTAATCCTATTTTTTAATTTTGTGGTTAAAATTAAGTTTATTAAAATAATTTTTATATTTTTAAAATAAACCATGTATATAAGGGAGAGAGATTTATTTGAATATCCATTAAGTAAAAATTTATATATAAAATTTGGTATAGAAGAAAAATTTTTAAAAAGTATAAAATATAAAAAATTTTTTCCTCGAGTTAAAATACTTGGACTCAACCAACTTTGAGGAACAAGACATGACAACTATAAAATATTCACAAATAAATAAATTTATTTAACCTTCAAAACTTTTTCCAAGTGCATTTTGCCTTTAGTACAGGCCTCATCAGTGGAATTACATCAGCTTACTTGTTGGTGTTTTATACCATGCTATCTTATCCCAGCATGCATCCAGTACCATCCTTTTATTTAAATTAACATTATTTACATATTTTATTATATTATATTATATATATTTACATATTTTATTAGGGGAAACTTGCCTAATTCGTACCCCTTAAGGAAAAACCATCATATTATCGAAATTAATAAACACAAGTTATTTTTTATTTTAAGTAACTTTTATTTGGGAAACATTTTATTACTACTATAATAAAATATAGCATAAATCTTATAAACTTCTGAGAAATAAACAATTTAAAAAAACACTAAAAAAGTACGATTTAAGAACATTCATTTTAAATCGTACTGATATATTCTTAAATCGTACTTTGAGATCCTATCATTGGTTTTCAGTCTTAAGAATAAAAATCTTTATCAATAATGTATTAATATGTGTGTATATTAACTCTTAACAAATTCGGCAGATGGTCTTCGCCAATTTTTGGCAGTCATCGCAGCTGTAATCTGTTGTTTTTTTATTGGTTCCTGCACAAAGTTCATGTACCTATATCTCACATTGTGTGCATTTCATCATATTTTCTTTTACGTCTTCTTGGCATAATTTACAGTACCAACTGTTATTCTCATTTTCCTGTTTTTTTTATTCTCCTTTTGTGATATTTTAGTAGTTTTGCTTTTCTTTGCACCAAGATTCCTTGATACGTTTTTCTTCTTGCAATTTCAAGAATACCACGTAGTGAAGATATTATTTCAAATGTCGCTCGAACTGTCTCTGTATTAGAAATGTTTACTTTCATACCTAAAGAATATTCCTTCGCTTTCTCTTGTAGACATTGATCTTGCTGTTTTTCCAAAGGGTGAATTGTCGGTACCTCAGGAAGTTGTGGGTACTCAATTTCTTCAGTCTGTTCTTGCTCAGTAGTCTGATTGGATTGTGCCACACACGTTAAAGTATCTGTTTGTTCTTGCTGCCTTTCAGTTGCCAGATCTTGGAGACTTCTGCCGATTCACTTAGATTAGCATCTTTGTCAAGAACAACATATTCCTCATCCCCGATCTTAAAGCGATTGCGAGGCCACAATCCACAAGATTCGAAGCCATGCATGCCTGTGTCTATACAAACGGCTCAAGGATATGCTTTATTAAGGAACCAGGATGGTTTGCATCCACGAAGCGCAAGCAGCATTAAAATCAGTTGTAGTGATTTGAAAAAATGACCTATCTAGTCTATTCTTTGATGTGTATTCAGTCCTTGTAACTGTCGTCTAAATGTCAATTTCGGTACATTATATACACTACAAACTTCGTTAAATTATAAGGTCCCGTCATTATATTTTTTAATTGCTTCTTTCATATTTTCTGTACTCCAAGAATTATATTTTCTTTTTGACATGTTGTTCTAAAAGTAAATACAATTAAGTTTTAATTTGTTTTGAACTTTTGCGGTTATTTTTCAAATCAGAAACTTAGAAAAAAAATAAGTTTACTTGAAGCTCTATCTTCCCATTCTCGATTAAAAGATTCAGCTTCTTCTTCTTCAATGTTAATATATTCTTGGCATTCATCTTCTTCACCCATATATCTATTTCGGGATTTCTCTATGACATGTCCCTGATCCTGAAGATGATGACCTATGGCCATCTTCTGAACACCTGTTCTGGTATCCTGTACACTTCTACGAGTTTCACTTACTCCACCAGGTCCTGTTCTTTTTGATGAAGAAGCCTGATATACTTGGGGCCTACCATGTTCATCTGTTGTGAAAGTCATTACAGAAGAGGAAGAATAACTATGACAATTTGGATCTTGAGATAAACGATCAAAATTACTAAACATGCTATTCATGGATGGAAATAGACTATGACCAAATCCAAATGGCATTAAACTATTTCTATTTTGTCTTGACACACCATTTCCATAATCTAGCTGTGGAATTTCACCAAACATTCCTCCAAAAGGAGACATCATGGCATCCATCATCGATTCCATCTGTCTCATGCTCTCCATTGGACCTCTGAAAAAAGGATCATTGTCAAAATCTCTCATCATCGAATGAAAGAGCGACATTATATTCGGTAATTAAGATTTCCTCCGACTTATTGATTAAAATCAGTAATAGCTTATTGTGACATCCATCTAAAATGGTTTTCCTAAATCATACCAGTACATTTTAAGAACATGCCTCGAGTATGAAACAGGCGCAAGAGTCGAACAAACTTTACATTAGTCGCCAAAAAATTTGACAACAGATATGCATGTTTCATCACTTCAGATAAAATCACAAAAATACGCACTAATACATCACAGATAGTTAAAAAACTTACACACGATCCAATTTGAAGAAATTTCTTGTGAAATGTGCAAAAATATTACAGAAAAAGTTGAAAAAACTTTCCTTTTCAATATTTTTGTCAGGAGCAGAGTAACAGCGTGTTGTCTGTCAAATGGTAGTATGACCGATTGTTATTTACTTTTTTTGCTACTAGAGACACTAATAACTATTACCGGAGTCGAGATATAAGCGAAGTACAAATTAGGCGCAAGTACGAATTAGGCAAGTTTACCCTATACTATACACTTTTTACCTTTATTTGGACCAACTTCAGCCCACTGTAACATTTGAAATGAACACAATGTATACAGTGTTATCCCAAATCTTATGAAATTTAAAGTTTGCATGTAATGTTACATACAATAAATTAATAAATTGGTTAAATAATTAATAAAAAAAATAAATAAATAAAAAGCAGTATGGAATAAAGTGTAAATATGCTTTTTATTCTATGTAGGGAAATAAAAAATACTTACAACCAATTTTTGAAGAAGTAAATTTAATATGTAATGAAAGCACGCACAAATATACCCAAAACTAATAAAAAGAATAAAATTATTTAATGATACAACTGTTTTTGGCTGTTTCTAACAATCATCATCAGGTATATCTTAACAAACACCAAACAGAACTTTATATTTAAATGTATTTGATTGTTTAACATTGTTCTGTTCAGTATTCATCAGTGATGTTCATTAGAAATGGGTGAAAATGTTTGTATCAATAAATAATTTTACTCCTTTTACTGGTTTTAGGTATATTTGTGTGTTTTCATTAAAAAAAATACTTTTTAAATTAAAGTTTATTTCAATCTATTGTTTTCTAATTGATATATATTTTTAATTACAGGTGATAAACATCAAGCAGAAACAGTTAACGTAACTCAATCAGACTCTGTACAGAATTTGTTTTTGAAAATTAATTCCAAATTTTCTTCTACTCCTGATGTAGTAGTGAATTGTGCTGGAATTACAAGAGATTCATTTTTGATAGATATGACAGAACAAATGTTTGATGATGTTATTAAAGTTAATCTAAAAGGTACATATTTAGTTATGCAAGCAGCAAGTAAACTCATGATCCAGGAAAAAGTAACAAATGGCTGTATAGTTAATATATCCAGTGTTGTAGGTAAAGTAGGAAATATGGGACAATGCAATTATGCCGCATCAAAGGCTGGCGTTGAAGCTCTTACAAAATCGGCAGCTAAAGAGTTGGCTAGATACGGAATTCGATGCAATGCTGTTATGCCTGGTTTTATTGACACTCCCATGGTATCAACTGTTCCAGAGAAAGTGATGGATAATATTTTAAAACAGACACCACTCAGACGGAAAGGAAAACCTGAAGAAATTGCTGATGTTTGTGCTTTTCTAGCTTCTTGTAAAAGTTCTTATATTACAGGAGAAATAATTCAAGTATCAGGAGGATTATATATGTAGCTATGTTTATTTGAAAATATCATCCGTAGATGATTTGCTTTAAATATGGAATTATGGCAAAAATTTTGATACTAAAGAGTTTTCTTACCAATTTTAGAAAATTTAGATAATAAAAATATGAAATCATTATACTAATTTATAGTATTCATAAATATGAGATATTCTATTTTGAGATGTAAAATGAAAAATTAACTATTAAATATAATTAAAAATAATATGATAAATTTTACTTGAAATATTAGAAAATTGCAATAGATATGAGAATTACAGCATATATAGTAAAACCTTATTAAGTTGAAGTGTGTTAACTTGAATTAGTCAACAAGTCCCAAGCTAGTATATAGGGTTTCCATACAATATGATCTCATTGAGTCGAGATTGCCAGTACTTTTAACTCAAACCTATTTTCCTTTGTACCCTCTACCCTTTGATACAGTGATTTTCAACTGGTTTGCAGCAAAAATTTTTGAAAGTTATTAAATAAATTATTTTCTAAAGAAATCCAAAGAACAATAAACAAGTGTAAATAACAAAATTAAAACCTCTAAATTGATTATATTAGTTTTTCATTGTTATAATAAACAAACATATACATAATGTAGTAAAAGATATGCACATATAATTTTGCTTATGAATATATAATACCGGGTTATTTCATTTAAATGAAATTTTCTTTCAATTTAAAATGTATCTATAATTGTCCATATTTAATTCAAATTATAAATAGCAGGACATTGGGTGGTTTCTAAAGGCAACTATCATACCACCTTTAAATGCATATTAAGACTTAATGTTAATTACTTTATTTATGTAAATGAAAATTATTAATTTAAATAACCATTGTTGTAACCTGCTGTTATTTTAAGGAACAATACTGTTCTATTTAATTCACAAAAAATATAGGAAAAAAAAATTAGGTTAAGGGGCAAGTAATATGGTGGTAGAATGTTTACAAACACAACTTCAAATCATGTGATATTTTCCATGGAAATTTAATTATAGATTCAAGTAGGCTGTGAGATAGAAAACGTTGAAAAACACTGCTTTGATAAATCCTGTTATCTTCATTTTTCCTTATATTCTGTGTAAATACAGACAGTTAAGATAAACAAACACTGCAGCTCCTTGTTGAACATAATATCAGGCCATTACAACCTTGCATTGACATTGTTTTACAGTATGTTACTCACATTCTGATTGGGACACAAGAGCATCTTGACAACACCCTCAAAAGTACCATAAACTGTATGCAATTTTGTAGTCATTCTATGAACAGATTCCTAACAAACAGCTTGATAGTACCTCTGAAAAATTTGAGAAAATTGGGCATTAAACTTTAAACTCCTTAACTTGAAACCCTAATTTAAAGTTGAGATCTTTTTTTTTACTGATTTAAGATTTTACTGTGTGGTGTGTATATATGTGATATTAGATAGTAAAATTTATTAAAACATTTTTTTAGTAAATATGTAAAAGAGTTTAAATTAAACTTAGTTAAATTTTTTTCAAATTAATGTTTAAATAAATTATTGTTTGAATTAACAGTGTTAGAACAATGATGAGGCAGTCCTTTAACTTAGAATTAAACTTTATTCTAATCTATGACTATACATGCACTTGTTCACACATCAATAACTTGGCGGGCAACTAGAAACAGGTTTCTTCTTGTTTCGAGCAGTCTTTCATGTGTGTTGCCAGTTCATACACAGCTTGCGATATCAACACTTGCTTTAGTTTAGCATTCCCTAACAATTCCCCCTCAAAGAAGAGACTCTGTCTCAGTGTTTCCCAATGTAGGGCAATTGGATTGTTAAGGGGGCAATTCAAAAATGGACTCATTCAGAGTCTAAGTTAACCGTATAGCCACTGTATATGTTAGGGAGGCATAAGAATATTAGAAAGGCTTAGGTGGGGTATAGCACAAAAAAGGTTGGGAAACACTGCTCTATCTTCACTTAGTGATCTCTTTGCTAGTTATGTGTTTACGGTTGATCAGAAGTGTTGCTCTTACTTGTTAGTATCCATGTACTTTATTTGTATTGTTCTGTAAGTGATGTTTTCCTTAACTTTATAGACCCACTTACATTTGATAATTGTTGTCCCTTCTGTCAATTCTGTTAAGTTCCATACCTTATGTTTTCTCAGGTACTCCACTTCTTCTTCCATGGCAGCCAGCCATCTGGCTGAATCATTTGATTCCATGGCTTCTTTATATATCAAAGGCGCCTTGACTATCTTTTTACCAGTTGTGGCAGATTTGTCTATGGTTTTCATTCTACATTCCTTTCTGGTCTCCCCCTCTGTCCTGTTTGAGTGATTTGTGGCCTTCCACTTGCTCTTACCAGTTCATTATTCTGCTTGTTTTCACTTTTGTTCATTTTGTTTTTGTCTCACTTTTGGATGAAGTATTTTCTTCAGGTTGTAATTGTTCCTTAGTAGATTCAAGGATATCTAATTTTGCTTCTTTAATATCAAGTCTTTCTCTTCCATGGGATTTGTCATCTTCAGTCATTTTGGTATTGTCCCTTGCGTTGTTTGGGAATTTGTTGATAAATTTGACATTTCTGTTTGTTATAACTCTTTTTGTCTTTATGTTCCATAGATAATATGCTTTTGTTTCACTAGAATAGTCTATAAATATGCATTTGGTGGATCAAAATATTTGATTGTTGGCATTCTACCAGTCCATAACTTGAAGAGTATGTCATCTTCCAGGCTCTTTGATGGATATCTATTTCTAATATATGATGCAGTATATACAGCCTCTGCCTGAAAGCATTCTCTCAATCCTGCTTGGCTACTCCAAGCAGGATTGAGAGAATGCCGGGTCAATTCCATTTCCATTAATGAACATTAATGGAAATGGGATTGACCCTGGCATTCTCTTCTTTTCGCAATGCCATTTTATTGTGGTGTTTAGCAGGCTGTTTTCTCATGCCTAATCCCTTTATGTTTCAGGAAGTTCTGAAATTCTTTATTAAACAAACAACTTGACACCTAAGTGCAAATTCCAGCATATAATGAACAAATAAATTTTAATGTTCAAATGTTTTCGGCTGTCTTTCAGAGGCCCTCATCAGGAAAGAATGCATAAAACAGAAAAAACAGTTCTATCTTGTTTTCAGTTTGTTTAATATACAGTTCCAGTTTGGTGTGCCAGTTTTTTATGTATAATTCTTTAATAAACTCCCAACAACCTTTAAATAACCAGTAAAATATTTAAAACTACTACAAACGTTTTCGACCGTTATTTCCGGTCTTCTTCAGGTTAAAATTTCTGAGATTTGAATAGCAGCTGTGCTTGAAGATTTAAACTTTTTTAGAACGTATGAACAGTTGCGTATAGTGATTCATAGTGCACGTGCGCACTAAATATAGTGTATACAAACAAAAGAATATATCAATATATTTTTTACACACACATATAAAAAACGGTGGAGATCTGGATTAAATGGGATCTTAGCGTTCATAATAGTTTCCAAGCATTAGAGATATTAATCGCATCCTTGGAATTAATGCAGTTATNAGCCTAGGACCTTGGGTGGATGCTACACATATAACGCATCCAATTCTATCTAGGACCAGTTCTGGGCTGTTAGCCGCCTGCCCGCTAGATATTTGGCCGCCCTTGCCCAATTTCAGCACCTCTAGTTTAATTTGTGACAAGAAAAGAAGTAGACTACAGTAATGCCTCAACTTATGCTACCCCGACTTACGTGAACCCGGAGTTACGTGATTTTTTTCAAATCTCGTCGATTCCTCTTTAATATGAGCGCCACACAACTTTTGATTACTCACTCCCCCCCACTATTGTTCAGCGTACATGTTCGAATGTGTCGCGTGGAATCAACATATAGCTACAATTTATTTTGTGTTATTTATTCTTGTGTTTGTTATATCTATGGAGACTTGAGAGACTATACTATATCATCCAAGCAAAGTAAAACTGATTCTTCTGCATCAAACAAGAAAAAAATTTTATCTTTGGAATGTAAAGTTAACATTACAGTAGAGCGTCGTTTATCCGAATCAATTGGGGACTGGGGTTGTTCGGATAACTTATTTTTCGGATAACCGATTATTTACGAAAAAATATATTAACCTATCCCATGTTGAAATTTTTCTCCATTGAGTGTCACTTTGCGTTGAATTTTCATCAATGTTAAGCCTAAAGAAAACTTTTTAAAATAATAATCGTGACTATTGTATCGTTAAAAATTATTTTTTGATTTTGTACAAGCAAAATAAATATATTGAAAAATATAAAAACCAAAAAAAATATACTTTAGAAGTTGGTCTAGTATCAAAAACGTTCAATTCAGCACCACACACAGTCCTCAGAAAAACACCATGCAAAAGTGCCAGTGCTGCCAGCTAAAACGCACACACCAACAAAAAAAATATTGGAGTAGCCCAAGATATAGCCAAATATTGCAGCGCCACAGCACTAGCAAAAATTTAAATTTTCCAACTGGAATGCTTTCGGATAACCGACTTTCGGATAAATGACGCTCTACTGTATTAACTTCGATACAAAAATGAAAATTTGTGAATTGGCAAAGAAGTTTGATCTACCAGAATCAACAGTCAGAACAATTATAAAAGGTAAAGAAAAAATTCTTGAAGCTGTGAAAAATGCTCAATCTTTAAATTCAAGCATCATTTGTAAACTTCACGGTATTATCGCTGAGATGGAAACAATGTTAAAATTATGGTGTGATAATCAAGTAAATGTGAAAAATTGTCCTGTTGATCAGAACACTGTGTGCTCTCAAGCTAAGCTGGTTTTTGAGAGATTGAAAGAGGATGCTGGAGAGGTGGTGAAAGATGAAGAGTTTAAAGCTAGTAATGGTTGGTTCAGCCAATTCAAAACTCACTGTAATTGGCATAGCATTGGAGAAAGTCGAGAGGTGGCAAGTGCTGATAAAAAGGCTGCGTCTTACTATCCAGAGAAATTCAAAGCTATGATAGATGAATATGGCTATACCAGCCAAACCATATTCAATGTAGATGAGACTGGCCTGTTCTGGAAAAAGATGCCTAAAAGAATGTTTATCATGCATGAAGAGAAAACCTTTCCAAGTTTTAAAGTCACCAAAGATCGATTGACAGTGAGGTTGGCGCAAATGCAGCTGGTGATTTTAAGTTAAAACCTCTCTTAGTTTATTGCTCGGAAAATCCAAGAGCATTGAAAAAAATCTAAAGCTGGCTTGCCTGTGATTTGGAAGTCAAATCGTAAAGCTTGAGTGGCAACTTTCCTTTTTGAGGACTGGTTTGGTCATCACTTCATACCTGAAGTCGAACGTTATTGCCAATCTAAACAAATTCCATTTAAAGTGATGCTAATAATCAACAACGCACAAGGTCATCCCCTGCAACTTTAACTAATTTTGACCCACATGTGAAAGTTGTATTTTTGCCACCAAATACAACCAGCTTGTTTCAACCGATGGATCAGGAAGTCATCAAAACATTCAAAGCTCATTACACGAGACGATTGTTTGTACAGTACATCTGCATGAAGCTATGAGACAAAACAAAGAATTCTCTGTTAAAGACTTTTGGAAACATTTTTTTCTAAATTATTGTTTTCTTTAGTCTCTGGCCCCAATTAAAAATAATTTGTATGTATTTATATGAGAAATTATACCCCGACTTACGCAAATTAGACTTACGCGGTTATCGCTCGGTCCCACCTACCACGTAAGTTCGGGTTATTACTGTACTGTAAATCCTGAATGTTTTCAAATTCTTGTTTTCTTAAATAAAAATCTACAGTAGATGAGAATGAAAACAGTTTATTTTTAATATATTGCAGTTGAAATAAATACCTAAAACAAGCTACTTTTCAATTTTGACTTTGAGTTTTAATATATTATTTGTTACTTTTAGCCCTTAATTACTACATTAAATTGTGATAACCTAACCAGTTATTTAAATTTTAGGATTTATCACACCAGTGAATATGATATAAAATAAACTACTTTCATTTGTAATATCTAAATTTTACAATTAATCTATACTAATATTATAAAGAGGTAATATTTGTATGTATGTTAGTTTGTCAGCAGCAGGTAATCTGCGAAACTACTCATCCGATTTCAAAAATTCTTTCACCAATATTTAGAATGGAACTTCAGGGTGGACATAGGCTGTATATTATTCCGTTAAACATGGGAGATGGACAGTTCTTTACGGTAAGCCTTCCCCGTAAGGCTTACCGTAAAGAACTCTGCTTCTATTTATACTATTTTAGATGCGGNCCGCCTCGACGGACCAAAAAATATGTTATGTAATAAATGATCTTTGTTTATGCTTCTGTTTTCTTAAAAAGAGACAGGACAAACTTTGTTTCGAACTAACGTTCATCAAACGCTCTCGTTCTCATCTCGTCTTTTCTCACGAGAGTTATGAGACATTTATTAATAATTTAAGTAATTACAGTTGTAAAAAAAATGTATAAAAAACTAGATAAAATTAAATTATGGAGTATTTAAACAATAATAAATTTGTAAAACATAAATATGAGAAAATAACAAAAATCATAATATCCGCGGGGTGCGACATCCATCACCCAACCATCCAGAGAGTTTCTAGCAAATGTATATGTTCTCTTCAGTGTGATATATTATTTATTTGTGCGTTATGCAGGTTAGCTCTTACGCACGGGGTCGAAGCATAAGTAGATAAGGCAGTGGTGCCTCTGTTATGCTCAATGTCATACCTATGTTCGCGTAAACACTTATCTAGAGAACATATCGTAGAGCCAATATATACAAGGTCCCTTTGAAATCTATGGTCCCTTAATGGAACTGAATATACACCTGGAGCAAATCTGATGTCTATGTGATCTTTGCAGTTGCAGAGGAAGTCATAAACAGTACTGTGCCTCTTATGTGCAATTTTTTTATTTGTAACTGCCACAATTTCTCTATAAATAGGGTCCAGGTGGTGGTATATTGAACCACAGCCCAAGATTGTGGACTATTCGAGTTGCTAGTGCTTGTGTTGTTGTTAATATTATGTAATTGCAACAAATAGGCACATGCAAGTTTATGAATTAATCCTCATCCATATCCATGTTGTGAGGCTACATACTGAATGCGTTGTAATTCTGCCAATGTATCATCGAATTTTGTATTGTGTGTGAACACTCTTTTGGTTAGGGCCCTGAATGCCGCTAACTTGTAAGTGAGGGGGTCATCAGAATTGGCAGGGATGAATAGAGGAGTATAGTATGGCTTATAATAGACATTGGTTGATATCTTGTCCCCTTCCAATTGTATATTGATATCAAGGAAGGTTGCATTCAAATTACTCATTTGGTCTAACTTGATGCTGAGGCCATATGGGTTATCATTCATTGCATCAATGAAATTATAGATATTGGGCTTAGCCTTCCACATAATGAGGATGTCATCAACGTACCTCTTATAAATAAGTATGTTATGTTCAAACATAGGTATGATTCTTTGTTCTAGTTGTCTGATGACTAACTCGCACAAATCCCCTGATATTGGGCTGCCCATAGGGACACCGCGTTTTTGGAGGTAAATGTTGTTGAAATGAAAAAATGAAGTGTAGCATAATATGTGTGCAAGTTCTAAAATATGTTTACGGTGTGTGCCATGAGAAGTTCAAAAATGCGGTGTCCCTATGGGCAGAATTTCTCAACTTTCCTATAACTTCACATTGACAGGTTGTAAAGAATTATTGCAGATCCATTCAGGCAATTATTTGAAGTTCAGTCCAATATTCAGAGATTAATTGTGGGCCGTGGTACACTACACCCAATTAAATTAGCTTCAACTTTTTATTTCTTTTTGCAAATCGGCTCAACACTTTTTTGGCTGTAATTTTCTGGGGAGGACACCAGGTTAACAGGCCCACCCATCCCCTTCCTGGATACGCCCATGCTGGTGAAAGAAGTTTCTCTTGTGATAGTGGTTCAGAATTGTTTGAATGAGTTCAGTATACTGTATAGCAGCAGTATGGTTTACAGTTCTTCATTTATGGAGATTTTCATTTCTTTTTAACTTATCTATTATATCGAAAAAGTCTCTTATGTGATCTGTCATATTGTCTCCTTCCCTCATTTTCTTGAGAATTAATTTCTTTAGAAGCATAGCCTTTCTCACAAGACTTTTTGATTTGTAAATTTCATGTAGCTTATTCCACATTTCATGTGAGGTTTCACATCCTTTTGTCTGTTTTAATTCTGCTGGGTTTATGGTGAGAATTATATCACACATTCTCTTCAAGGATGCTGTGTCCCATTGTTCTGCTGCGTTCGTTGTAATTTCATCTCCAAGTATAATGTTTGGTTTTTTTTTTCTGCTGGCATATTCCCAGGAATCATTTTTGATCAGAAGTGCCTTCATTTGTATTTTCCATGTATCGAAGTTTTCTTTACACAGTGGTTCTATTCTTATAACTAGTTGACCAACCATTTTTATTTTGTAGACTTTGTAATTCTATTTCCT